GACTCTTGATCTTGTGGTTGTAAGTTCAAGCCCCATGTTAGATGTAGAGATTACTTAAAAACAAAATCTCAGGGGCGCCTGGGTGGTTCAGTTGGTTAAGCGTCGGACTCTTGATTTTGGCTCTAGACATGATCTCACGGTTCGTGGGTTCAAGCTTCCCATCAGGCTCTGTACTGACAGAGCCTGCTTGGAATTCTCTCTCTTCCCCTCCCCCCTCTCAAAATAAATAAACAGATATTAAAAAAAAATAAGATCCTAAAAAAAATTATAGTGATTCAAAAAATAACCCACAGAGATAATTTTTGTATATACCTGATAAGAAACTTGTAGCTATAATATAAAGAACTCTCACAAGTCAATAGCAAGAAAAATAATTTAAAAATAGGCAAAGGATCTGAACAGTCATTTAACCAAAGATGAATTACAAATGACCAACAGGCACATGAAAAGATGCTCAACATCATTAATCAGGGAAATGCAAATCAAAGCCACAATAAGATATCATCTCCACCCATGAGGATAGCTAGAATCAAAAGGGCAGAATTTAAATGGTGAAGCCACTTTGGAAAACAGTCTTCCAACTGTTCAAAAGGTAAAATGTAGAGTTACAAGACTCAGAAATTGTAGCACCATTGTTCTTAATAACCAAAAAGTGGAAACAATTCAATATCCATTAACTGATGAATGGATAGATGAAAAGAAAATGTGGTATATCCATACAATGGAATACAGTTCCACAATAAAAAGTACAAATACATGCTACAACATAGATGAACCTTGAAAATATTATGCTAAATGAAATAAGCCAATCACAGAGGATATATTGCATGACTCTATAAATGCCTGAAGTGAGTAAATCTAGAAAGTAGATTAGCAGTTGCTTCTGGTTGGTAGGGAAGGGGGAATTGGGACAAGATGGCTACAGGGTGCAGAGTTTCTTTCTGGGAAGATGAAATAACACCTAGACCATATGAGCCCTTTGATGGGGTTGGAACCGTATTTTTGTGTCTCTGCTATACACATAGGACAGTGCTCAATAAACTAAAATTTCTGAAAATATTAATATTCAGTTTCCTAGACCCTAAAAACTTGGCAAGCACCACGAGGAGCTTGGTCTCTTAGTAGTTGATTTTTAGTAGCTGAAATACTTTAAACACCCAGGGGAGAATCCTGTCTTCGCTGAGTGTAGGTTTTTTAAAAGACTGCAATTCAATAAAGCTTTAACCTATAATCAATCATGTTCTTTTACACACACGTATCTGTTACCTACTTCTACACATTGAATCTAATTCTTCAATTGCTTGCTCAGCCTCCTGAATTTCTTGGTAAATGGCTGCGAGTGGTGCCAACTCGGCATGCCTTCTATTCAAGGCTCTTCGGTCCCCTTCATTCAGAGACACTCGCTGCAAACACTGATCAAGCATACGGTGCTCCTTACTCAGGTCCTCCATATATTTCTGTAGTGCTTTATGCTTCCACAGCATCCTGGTGTCTTGATGACAATATCTCCTGGGACAATTCTTATTTAATAGATGATGGAGAACGGGATGCCTGTTTTGTCTAAAAACCCACAGTCTTGTATCAAAATGTCTCTGTGTAAACTGATGAGACTGGGGGTGGATGTGGCACTGGTGGTAACCATTACGAGATGAAAGTCTAAAAAGCCAAGCACACAGGTGACGATTCATCTCAGCATCTGAAATATAATAAACACAATCTGAAAAAAAATCAACTCTGCAAATATAAAAGCTAGAAGAAGTCTCAAGAAATCCTGCTCAGTTCACAGCCGCAGCCAGCTCCAAACACTGTCCTGAAATTCAATAATCCATAAAAAGAAAATAATTCTCCAAACATCTGAATATAACATATTAAAATAAATGAATATAGCACTGTTTTCTATTCATCCAATGTATATAATTAGCTAAGGCAAATGAGTAGGAGCATAACTGATAAATATATTAATAAACTGGATTAAATCAGCTATTTTCTAGAAAGTATTTGGAATCTAGAATTGACTATGTGAACAAACACTTGAAAGGTATGAAATAATCATGCAAGCTTTAGGTAGTTCACATATTCATAGATTCCTGAAGTTTGAAGAAGTTATTAACTGTTTTCTTGTCTAATTCATTAATTCTAGGTATCCAGATGTCCAAGGAAGTCAACTGACTTAATCATGATTATTCACTCAGCCAGACAGGCAGAGCTAATACTAGACTGCAGTTTGCTTGTTCAAAGCTCAGTGCTTTCCATTCTCAATTCTGCAATCAGGTGCTTCCCTTTTAGCTGAGACCCTAAAGGAAGAAAACTTCAAATATTATACTAAGAAAGTAGGTCTGGTAAAAAGGGACAGTGGTGATATCTGCATTAAATGAAAAAAGCAGAATGCAAAACAATATAATCTCAATTAGGTTTTTAAAATTTTCTATGACATTATGGTATACATATAAAAAAGGTAAACAGAGTATTTTTGGGGGGGGGGGAACCTAAAAAAGAAATAGAGCAAAATGTTAACAAGATGATCTCTAGTGGTGGGCTTGTGGATACCTTTTGCTTGCCTTCTAGCTTTTCTAACTTTCGGCGTTTTAAATTTTTCTATATGCATAGCATGTATTACTTCCACAATCAGGAAAAAACAGTTACTTAAAAAAATTACAGGTTAGGTGAAATTGTCTGTGTACACTGATTTACCTGTTCTTCCCTCTAATAGACAATCAGAAGCTAACAAAAGCACAAAGTAGTTTTATTAAGAAAGGGGGAAGATAAAGATAAAAACACTTTGCCCCTAAAATTCGAGGTTCAAAGTTGAAGTAAGGGTCAAAATTTTATCAGAATCAATCTTTATTGTCTCTGGTGTTCCTACTATGCTAGGAGGTACATTCATATATTAAACTCATTTGATCACTCTAAGTCTGCTAAGTTGAATATCATAATCTCCTAGGAAATAAAATATTCAGAATGATCTCCAAAATCTACAGATTTTGTAGGATTCTATTAACAAACTTTAACATACTGAATCACATTTGGAAAAAGACTGTAGAAGGATGCACCAATACCCAACAGCCATAAATGTGACAGTCCTTCAGCAGGTTTCCAATGTCTTTACATGCAGTCTCAAGCACATCGGAGGAAGAGTGTCCAATTGAAAACAAGGACAAATCAAAAGGATGACAAATTTTTGTTAGAACATTTCTAGCTAAAATTTCCATCCTAGGAACAGTAGTAAATAACTCTTAAGGTCATGAACCTCAATGTTTAGAGGGGGGGAAAAAAACCAAGACGTTTTACTCGCTAGTGTTACCTATACCTGAGAACGGCAAGTCTTCTCCGTCACCCACCACAAGACCAGGATTAGTCGGTACTCTAAGGACAATTCTCAAGAGTCGGCAGGTCATAAGTGATACTAAGCCTGCGCCAGAGCAGCACACGTAAACCAGATTCTGTAATTCAGAATACGGAGTGATCCCAAAGAGGCAACATGAAAGAAAAATGGGGATAGAAAAAAGACCTTTAAAAGATCTAAAATAGAAAAGAAAAAAAAAAGTGAGTACCTAAGAAATATAAGTAGGAGAGCTTTCCTTACTGTAGCCGGAACTCTCTGTGACCTGCTACATTTCAGCCCGACACACACGGGATTACTTTCACTTCCGGTATCACTCCTTCCGGGTGGACGCTTGCTCTCAGCCTCTCCGGAGTCGTCGTGGGCGTGCGTGTTAACAGCTAACAGGGAAACGCAAGGGAAAAATGACAAATCGAGAAAGAAAAAAAAATGATAAGGCAAAAATGAATATCCCAGGAGATGACCACCCGCGCAGTACTTATCCAGAACCTGAGCCCAGGGCGTGGGTTGCGATGGGGTAAGGAGGGTGGGCGGTGGTGAAATGTAGAATGAACTACAACTCCCGGGGATCCCACCCGGGAATCCTGGGAGTTGTAGTTTATGCCCAGAATGCCTTTGATGGACCTTTGGTTTCATAGTTACAGGCAAATAACATGAGAGAGATTCTCTACCATTCTGATTAGGAGATCAAGAATTACAATATAGTAATTTGAAATTAAAAGAATTTCCTTATATGTGGAGCCATTAAGCAGTGTTGTTTTTTTTTGAGGACTCCCTTTTCATCACCCCCAAATTTGGGGATTCTGCATGGTTTTTCATTTTTATTTCTTTTTTTTTTCCTGTGGGATTCTGCATGTTTTTAACAAAATATTTTTTAATGTTTATTATTTATTTATTTATTTATTTATTTATTTGAGAGGGAGAGAGATACAGCATGAGCAGGGAAGGGGCAGAGAGAGAGGGAGACACAGAATCTAAAGCAGTCTCCAGGCTCTGGGCTGTCAGCACAGAGCCTGACACGGGGCCTGAACTAATGTACCATGAGATCATGACCTGAGCTGAAGTCAGACACTTAACCAACTGATCCACCCAGGCGCCCCAGGATTTTGCATGTTAATAGTTGTACTTTCAACTTGCACTGCTTGAGAAAATACCTAGTAACTAAAGGAGGATATAAATTTATATTTTTAAAAATCATAACAGGATCTTAAAGATAGAAGACTACATATATCCACAAATTAAGGACTTTATAGATGTTGCATGCACATACAGAATTTAGGGGCTCAAACTAGGGTCATAGCTTGTAAACTACTGATTAAATAAACCAACTAATAGACAATTCCAGGAGAATGCAAACATATTGCCTTACTTTGGATATTCCAGTGGCGATCACATTTACAAGTTACACGACAGCTGTGTCTCAATATCACTTTCTGAAAAGCCAAGGTAAATATCAACCCATATAACCAAATTCATAGGATATTTTCTTAGGTTACAATCCCATATAAAAAGGACAATTAACCCTAAATGTAAATATCTAACATTACTTAGTTAAAGGTATAAATGGATATAAAAGTATAAAGATATAAAGATATAAATGGATATAAAAATATATATATATTTTATAAAATATAT